AGTGTGAAATGATCATACAGTCTGCATGGAAGTCAAAACATCTTGGCAGTAATCATATATTACTTAATTCTTGTAGCACTTTTCAATTATTATTAAGCCACTCCGTTACATAAACTTGATGACCAAAAATATGTGGACACCCCAACATTACACCCATATGTAATTTTTAAATATGCAATTCCAAAATCATGCACGTTACTAATGTGCTATAACAGTTTCTGCTCATCTGGTTTCAGGCTTTGCTTCAGATTTTAACCCTGGCTGCAGGGATTTGTTGTGATTCAACAACAAGAGCATCACTGAGGTTCAATACTGATGTCAGGTGATCAGGTCTCGCTCACAGTCAGTGTTTTGATTCATTCAAAGGGTGTCAGATGGGGTTGAGGTTGGGACTCTGTGCAGGTCAGTCAAGTGCTTTCACACCAAACTGGAAAACATGGCTAAACAAAATTAGTAATTTCTAAAGGTGATTTACATAACCCAAAGAAAGCAATACAGCAAGTACAATAATAATAAAGATAACAGTATGAGGATAAGAGGTGTCCTCATACTTTTGGCCATATAGGGCATGTGTGTATACTAATTATGATAGGTAGGCCTAACGCTTCTCAAAATGTGATAAATCACCACTTTTTATAATAATACAAACAAGACAAGAATAATACAATAATTAAATAGTGATATGGTAAAGAACATCCTTTACAATAAAACACTGTGAAAGCAGAAAACATGCAAAAGAAGATACTAATCATGTGTCACAGGCAGGTTATTGCCCAGCTTTGGTCCTAACAACAAATATTGTTTTATTTTGGTCTTTAGTGCATTCTTGGGACAAGGAAGGGCCCTGTGACTCATTTCTCTGCAGCTCGTCTCTGAAGGACTTCAAAAGGCACAAATGTATTCTGGCACTGAGACGAGACACACAGCGTCCCTTTTTTCCCACCTTATCCTAGACGGTGCTTCTGTACTCCCCTACTCCACTGTACTCTGTTCCATTTGCTCCATTCTCTGCGCTGCTGAACTCTGCTTTTGTCCATAGCAGTTTGCAATCTACACTGCTATTATTGTTACTATTTTCTATTTGATTCTATTAATTAAAAAGTAAAGCAAGTAAAAATCATATTTTCACCTTTGAAGAATTGAGACCCATATGTCCCACAAATTTTTGCATGTGAAATGGTTGCCATGTGATAAAGTCACATATGATGTTCACTAATTCATCACCTGTGAAATGCAGTTTCATATATGATATTATACGTGTTTTCATTTCAACTGTGACGTATCTGAAATTCTGTTGAATTCTATTCTGTTGATGGTGTGTTAGTCAGTTTATTATTATTATTATCATAATTATTATGGATGCACAATAATATCGTTACATCATGGGTATCAGCCGATATTGGCTTTAAAATGAACTGGCCAACATGCTTTTTCTTATTTTGCACAGTGAATGGATATTACATACGTTGAAAAGCGTTCTGTTTCATGTCTCCATCTGCGAGTGGGCCATCATGATAAGAGTATGCATGTATAATATGATGTTAATTCCACTACAAAAGAGACTTGATGATCACTGTTAGGTGGGGGAGAAAAATCAGTATCGATATTGGTTATCGGCCAAATAAGTTGTTATATATCAGCATACTGGATATCGGCAAAAAATCCAATAGTATGCATCGCTAATTATTAACCTTATATACACATGATTAGTGTAGGAAAAGGAGACAGACTGTGGGACTTGAATCTACTCTGTGCACACAGTTACAGAAAATAATTTCATAGATCCATAGATGCACACCACTGTCTGAATTATATTCTAGCATATGATAAGTTGGGCAATACTGTAAAATAGGTATAAATTATATGATTATCATGGGAATGACTATTTGTGCTTTGTATATACATTTACACACATTTAACACTGAAGATAATGACTGAGTATATGCATTCACTGTTCATCTCATTCATCACTAACAAGAGATTCATATCAGTGGTATCACTGTGGTGCAACCTTTAACCAAGTGAAGACTGTATTTAGGCTATATCTGGATAATCAAAATCCCAGATGTTATATCACTGTACCAATAAGTCCTACTGTATAATAAGTTGTTTGTCAATCCCTCCTGATAACCACCTATATGACTGCTACAAAACAACTCATAAAAATTCCTATATAGTGAAGTTCAGCAAGTCAAATTACTTATTTAGGAAAATTCTATCATGGGTCAAAGAATTCAGCATTATCTGTTGGTGGGAGAAGTATTCATATCTTTTACTTTGGTAAAACTAGCAACACTAAATTGTAAAAAATACTCTGTTACAAGTTAAAGTCCTGTGTTCAAACTCTTACTCAAGTAAAAGTACAAAAGTATCAGTGTCAAAATATACTTTAAATACGGAACGTAAAAGAAGTAATTATACAGAATGGCCCATTTCAGAATAATAGCCTATATATTATATTATTATATTATAATGATTGATGCCTTAGTGTGTTCATCACAAAAGACTGCTACTTATGTACAGCACTTAAGTAAATGTACTTAGTTACATTCCATCACTGGGTAGGAGACTGGAGACAAATCGGGGTATACAATGTTTGTCTTAATGACCCTGACCTCTATGAATATAATATCATGTTATACAATTCTGCTAAACCCTGTATGACATAACCCTATCTATCTATCTATCTATCTATCTATCTATCTATCTATCTATCTAGTTCTGTAATACTTATTAGAACATAACTAGAGTTGATGTTTTTATGGCTGCACCTTGAAAATATTGTAGAAGCACACATTTCCTTTGATAGTCTAATTCATGCTTATGTGTTTTATAACACACAGCTGGACATGTCTCAAAAAAGGAACTGTGGTGGAGGCGGATAAGGGCTCTGAATGCAGGCTACTCCATTCTCTTTAAAAAAAGAAAAAAAGAAAGAAATCATAACAATAAAAAATAAAAACCTATTGATAAAGACTGCTCGAGGTGTCCTCTGCTGCTGCTGTGTGTGTTTATGGCGTGAGTAGGTTACTAACACAAGAGGGCGTGTTGGTGTGTGTCAGAGCTGCTCCTGTGGGTCCTGGCCTGTCGCCGCTCTGATTTAGGGCTCACACCATCAGCTGTTCTCTGCTGAAAAAAAAAGGGGGAAAAAATGTTTTAGTGGAAATGTTTTAGTGATGTTTTTTGTTAGGTTTGAGGATTACAGGTTTCGCTTGGATTTAACATCATTTTAGATTTTCTCCCATAAGATTCAGGTGTTTCCTTTCAAAATGATCTCTCAAAAATGCTCATAACAAGGCTGTTTTATGAGTTGCTAAAAAGTTAACATTCTGAGGATGCACAGATTTTATCTGACATGAGCTCAGGGCACTCTTTAACCATACAGTAACACCTACACTAGTCCAAAGACAAAGGCATTTGCGTAAAAATATGTGTATTATAAATCTGGTGCAATACGCCATGTCTTCAGGGTTTAACTGTTAATCGAGTCCAATACCAATTCATACGAACTTGCTCAATATGCCAAAGATTGTTTCCTTCATGGCCCTCTGTATGTCCAATTCAAATTGAAAGTTAAAAAAGAGATGGAGTGCGTGTTTCCTTTAGGGCAAACACTCAGCTGACCATGTAAACAAGAGTCCACTCAGCACACTAAAAATAAGAGAAAAAAATTAACAGACCAGAAAAGAGCAAAGCAAAGCTGGAAAACAAATGATATGCAGTAATAAGTGTGCCAATGTGTGTGTGCGCGTGTGTATGTGTGTGTGTGGTTAGTGCTGGTCAGGGTCTGCAGAGCCAATCAGCTGCTCATGCAGATGACGTGCCGCTGTCCTACGTCAGCCCCGCCGCTTGTCAGGATCAGAGCTCCACACACACCGACAACAAACACATACACACACTCCCTCTCCGAGCCGGACAGCACAGCCCCTGGCCCGGCAGCCCGGCAGTGGAGGACACATCCAGGCTTCCAGGCGCCGCAGCCCGCTGTGACAGTGGACCTAACATCGCCTTACTTTGTGGACATGGGAGACATGGGGGATCCGCCGAAAAGTAAGACACTTGTTCGGTGTTGGGATGCGGTTCTGGAACTAAGCTGATGACAAGTTGAGAGTTGGTTTTGGTGTGTTGCGGTGCCTGTCGACACAAGTGGCCTGTTAAAGTATTTGGTGTCATGAAACAATTAATTTTGAGGTGTCAGTGAAGCTTAAAGTCAGCGGATGTTACCTGTAGACTTTTTTTTAATGCAAACTATCAAAAAAAACAATAGCTCATATAGGCCTATTTTTTAATAATAACAATCACAACAACAATTAAAGTAATAACATTAATAATATCAAGAACTATTTAAAGGCCATTATTAGATGAGTGTGTGTTATTCAGCGGAGAGTTGTGAAGTGTGTGTGATGTGTTTTACTCGTGCTGGTCTTCCAGAGAAGCGGCTGGTATCTCTGTGCGTGGGCTGCGGGAACCAAATCCATGACCAGTACATCCTGCGGGTCTCCCCGGACCTGGAGTGGCACGCCGCCTGTCTCAAATGTGCCGAATGCAGCCAGTACCTGGACGAATCCTGCACGTGCTTCGTCCGGGACGGAAAGACTTACTGTAAACGGGACTACATCAGGTAGGACGGCCGGGACGGGACGGGACGACCCTCTACACACTCCAAGAGCTGGAACTACACGGCGATTGGAATTATTATTTTTGAAAAAATATATTTTACAGTATTAGGTTGAGAATAATCGGACCGATTTAAATGACATGGAGCAGTGATTTGACTGCGTTAAAATTATTTTTTTGAACATTGTGATAATTTTTACTGCTTCAGCAACTTGTAGACCGTGCGTCTTTGTACGAAATGTCAGCATTTCATTCTTTCACACTCTGTCTCATCAGATGCATTTTAAAAGCCTTGCACATCAGGCCCACATAAGTCATTTATTAATCAATGGTTCCGATCAGACTGCTGCGGTGCGCAGAGTGTTGCTTTGTGATGGACCTGACAGAAAAACGTAAAAACATCATTGTGCTATTTTCATTATACAGCCTGTAAATTATAACTAATCTGGCGTGGTTACACGTGAACAATTATTCGATTAAAACTTGAACAGGCCCTCAGTTATTGTCTAATACTCACAACATGACTATCAACGATATGAGTCACATTGCAGATAAAAGTGTAAACTAGAAAAAAAAAGTTCATTTTCTCGAGGCATATCATAAACAAATTCTCGTGTAATAGGACTACTACTAGTATGATAATAATAATAATAATAATAATAATGATAATAATAAAAACAATGATAATAATAACAATAAATGAGCACATTGTCTTACAAAATAGGCCTACCGGAAATAGTGTATACCAATGTTTGATTATATTATTAAAAACGTCAACACATTATTGTTATTATTATTATTATTGTTAATATCATTATAAAAAAAATACAGACCGTATTATTTTGGTGATCCTGTAGGCAATATTTTTTTACCTGCCTGCAGTCAAACTGATCGGACCGCTCGCGCGCGTGTGTGTGTGTGTGTGTGTATGTCCCGCAGGTTGTACGGGATTAAATGCGCTAAATGCAACATCGGCTTCAGCAAGAACGATTTTGTGATGAGGGCCCGCTCCAAAGTCTACCACATCGAGTGTTTCCGCTGCGTGGCTTGCAGCCGGCAGCTCATCCCGGGGGACGAGTTCGCTCTGCGGGAGGACGGGCTCTTCTGCCGGGCCGATCACGACGTGGTGGAACGGGCCAGCCTGGGCCCTGGAGACCCGCTCAGCCCGCTGCACCCCGCCAGACCGCTGCAGATGGCAGGTAAAGTCCCGGGGAGTGGGAGACAGGACGTGAGGACTGTAGTCTAACACTGCTGGGAAACATGTAGGCTTCTTGCTGTCGGGTGACATACTGCCTGTGACTTTTTTGTGAAGTTCCGAAGTCTTTTTCGATCAGTGGATTTTGGCCAGGTGTTCCTTAAATATAAACTCCGATTCTCCGGGTTGACACTCCATAAGACACCGCAGTGTGATGTTTCATGTTCGGTGAACTGCACCTCTTGTATTTCACAATGCCAGTTGAGTTGTCTCTGTGCGCACTGTCCTACAGACTCAGAGCTTAATGTCAGAGTGATTTACTAGCCAGGTTTGATCTCTACTTTAATGTAGCTAAATGTCATGCAGTCACAAGGAAGCTGCTCCCGGTGCCATAACTAACAAGTGGGGCTTTTCCCGTTTTCTTATTTGACTCTTAGGTGGACTGGTTCTGGTTACTCCATAGGTTTTGCCTTTTACATTTTCTTCCTGCATACCACTGTGCAGTCAGCCCAGACTCGGTAGATTAGATACAGTGGGCGCTGCTGTCAGAAATACACCAAGTTATCATTGCTGGAGGAGGAGGTCGAAACATGGCTGTGGGTCCGGGATGCGTTTGCACTTAATGCTGTGCGGTGCTCTGTATGTCTGAAAGGCTGGAGGTTTTCTCTAAAAAAGAATGGTTTGCTGTATCGCCGCCGTGCCCTGGTGCTTTTAAATGGATATTTTGACCTTGGATCAGATGAGTCAATCAGATCCGCTCTGCTCTCCTACATTTAAACCTAATATGTAGTGAAGCCTGGAACTCCCGAGCCTCCGAAATATGGGTATATTTAGAGGTAGTTCACCAGGGGACTATTTTGAGCAGAATGGCCAAACGTAGGCTAGTGTAGAACAATTACGCAAAACCTCGACTCTGATCTTCAGCAAGCTATAACGTCAGCAGCGTTGTGTTTGTGAAGTCAGAGGAGTTTCTATCAGGATGATTAAAACAGACGCAAGGCCTTTTAATTAAGTTGTGCATCATGTGTTGGAACATGCATGGCCACAGAGGGAAAAGACTTTATAACCCCCCCCCCCCCCTCCCCACTTCTTACTTATCCGTCCACACAATTTCATACCTTTCTGTGGGACAAACAGATAAACTGATTGTGTCCTCCCTGGGCCCTTTTCCCGTCCTTTCCCAACAGCAGAACCAATCTCGGCCCGGCAGCCCGCGCTGCGGCCTCACGTCCACAAACAGCCGGAGAAGACCACCCGGGTCCGGACGGTGCTAAACGAGAAGCAGTTGCACACACTGCGGACTTGCTACAACGCCAACCCGAGGCCCGACGCCCTTATGAAGGAGCAGCTGGTGGAGATGACCGGCCTCAGCCCGCGGGTGATCCGGGTCTGGTTCCAGAACAAGCGGTGCAAGGACAAGAAGAGGAGCCTGCTGATGAAGCAGCTGCAGCAGCAGCAGCCCAATGACAAGACGGTAAGAGGACAGAGCAGCTGGATAACCTTTCATATTGACAGTGCTGAAATGTGCATGGGATTTATTTAGGAACTTCTGCAGGCCTTTCCTTTGAGCAGAGACAGATCTTAAATGTTGCAGCTCTGTCTGCGTTTACATTATTAATGAGGATGTTTAACCCCGGAGTAAACTGAAGGTAGCCTCTATTTAAGCGGCATGACCAATATGTTTTGTAGTCAAGTCCATTTTATTCATAAAGCCATGTAACAGCCCTAAGGTTTATGTTGCAGGATGTGTGCGCAAACTGATGAATGATAGAGGCCTTGAGCTGCTGTAAGAGCAGGAGTGTTATATGGACGAGCTCATACAGGGCGCCTAGGTCAAAGACAGAAAGCACACAGAAACTTTTCACTACACACACAAACATATTAATCTGTTTATTGTGTGCTCTCTTATTGATGGTTCTGCTGATTGACTGGTGGATTAATTTCAGACGCCCCCCACCCCCACCTCCACCCTTCCTTCCAACATGCACACACACCACCACCAAACCCAGCTACCCACACCCCATCATCTGTAATAACCCGCATTGAAAGATGTGTACACTGGGTGCTTACCACGACACACTCTCTAACAGAACATCCAGGGAATGACGGGCACCCCGATGGTGGCGGCCAGTCCGGAGCGGCACGACGGCGGCATCCAGGCCAACCCGGTTGAGGTGCAGAGCTACCAGCCGCCCTGGAAGGTCCTGAGCGACTTCGCCCTGCAGAGCGACATCGACCAGCCGGCCTTCCAACAACTGGTTCGTCCTTTTTACTTTCTCCACTAAGGCTCTCATGCTTGAAATGTAGGCGATTTATGTATTTGCAATATTCAATTTCAGGTCTAAATATTTGACACTCCTCCATGCAGAAAAATCCAATCTCATCTGTGTCAAAAAGGGATATTTTAAATGGCAATTTGAACATACAAATATGTGCCATGTGCATAACGTTTCTCTCCCATCCTCTGATAGGATTCTTTATTTAAACAAATATACAGAATAAATTTAGCTGACAATCCTCAAAAAGAGTTTTCTCCACGGACCCTTGTTATTCAAATTCATAATGTTGCCGTGGACACTGAGATGCGCATCTTCACTTCAGTCATCAGGACAGGATGTTGTCACGTTGCTGGAGGTGTTGACTTAGTTTTTCGTCATTTATTTTAATATTTGTTTTTTTTTTACCTTCAAGGAAATATGATCAGTCTTTTGGCAGAACAGAACAACAGGAACGATGCTTGTTTTAATTACTACCGGTCCAGGTTGGGAGTTTTGAGCGGCCTCATAACGGCCTCCACACTGATGTCAGTCACCTCAGCTTGTTTCTGTTAAATTCATATTATTTGATACTGGACGGCTGTCCAGTTTGGTTTGGATTCTCTTGGAAAAACCACCTGTCCCGCCAGGGATGCTCCACAAACGCAGGACCAACGATGGAATAAAACCTTTGGAGATCCATTCATTCAATTGGTTTATTTCGTTTGGAGTGACGCACCACAGACAGCATGACACCATGTGCTGAAATCTGCTAAAATGAGCTGGATTATTAACATTTTTGACATGAATAGGAATGTGACGCGCAATTCAACCGTTCTGAAAGATGAGCAGACTTTAGACTCTAGTGACATAGTTTCATTTAGTGCTTTTTGTTGTAGACCAGGGTAGACATGGATAAGTACAAATAGCTATAAATGATATAATAAGACATCACACCCAGCAGACCCTGGAGCTCAGATGATGACCCGCAACCATGGTGTTTATTTTTCTTTCTTTCTTTCTTTTTTAAAATAAATTTACAATACATCACTTATAGGTTTGTTAAAGAAGTCTGAATTTGTGTTTTCCAACCTTCCACACAGTCGCTGCTCTTCCCTTTATTTGCTATACAGTTATTACGCAGACACTTTAAGCCGTAGCCTAATAAAAAAAGATCATTTATCAGATCGAGCATCAAGTCTGCTTTTCTTGTTGTGGTCTGAATTAGATTACAGTCCCGATGCAGTGTTGTACAAATCAGTCTACAATGAATCTATAATTAGGCTGATAACAAAAAATCATTGTCAATCAAAGTAACACCTATGACGTGTGTGTTGTTAACTGTGATGGATGGGCCTAAACTCAAACTATTTGTAAGTTCCTTGTCATTTGTAAATAGGCTATGCCCAGAATAAATGCTTTGGACGTACTGGACTATAATGTAAATGGACTAAAACATGCGTGTATCCATGTCATCTGCCAGCTTTTGGTCTGTGCCCCCACATAATTTGCGTTTCACTCTGGCACACCCCCTGTGGTGTACCCAGATGTGTCTGACCGCTGCTTGATGCTTGATGTGTCCCCGCAGGTCAGTTTCTCGGAGGGAGGACCGGGTTCGAACTCTACGGGCAGCGAGGTAGCGTCCATGTCGTCTCAGCTTCCAGACACGCCGAACAGCATGGTATCCAGCCCCATCGAGGCCTGAGCAGCCGCCGCGTGGACGGACTGAACGGACTGAACTGAACACACAGACCCCCCCCCCCCCAATCCCACCCTCCCCTCGACTGCACCAACAACCCCCCTGGTTGTATTTTGACACTGTGAAGACAATCATGGGATTTTACCACAGCCACACATTCTTATGTCCATCCAGCAGAGACAGACGGATGCGTCATCATGGCCGGTGCTGCACGTTCACACGCCTGGTTACAGTTGCCAAAACGAGAAGACATGACTCCATCGATACATGGGACCTCTGAGTAGGAGACTAATCTAAATCCTATACTTGCGAAATGCTGTGCGCTACTTTGAATAGAAAACTGGTGTTTTCTTTTTCTTTTTTTATAATTCGATCCACGCACCTCATCATATAATAGACCATTCGGATGGGAACAGCACTGCTTTTCTTCATTTAATTACACGATTTCCCTCATGATCCGAAAGCATTTGCAACAAGGTATACCTCTATTTTGCCACAAGCTTCGTGGGACATTTGTGTGAATCAGTGTCCGTCCGAGAATATTTTTTTTCTTTCCCAAAGATGTGTATAATTAATCATAAGTTAAAAATACCGTTAGCTCTGGAAGAAAATGTTTCGTTTGTTCCCGTGCAACAAAATTATTTATTATTTATTGTCGACAAATTTGCCACCTTTTGTGTAACTTTCTTAACTGAAGTAAAAAGAAACAAAAAAGACTGGAGTTTGGTCTGTCGGTTTCTATCACAGTTTAATGTTTTGAGTTATTATTATTTCTTAAATCATTTACAAAAGAGGACAGTTTGACTATCTTTAATTGTTTTTTCCCTCTCGTTGTGAACATTCACACATGAGGCGGAACATCAGATCTATTAAATGGCTTGATGGATATGCTGTGGTTAATTGGGTGTCATGTTGGTGCAGATGCTGTCTCAGTTTACCTGCTGGCTGACTACCTGCTTTACAACAAACTCCACTGCAGAAACATCTTCGTCTTAACAAAACTTCTGACGCCTAAAATCGAATTTTCTTGAAACAAAGTGATCAAATATGACAGTGAAATTCGATGATATTAAATTGATGAGTTCCTCTCATGGACTATATTTGGAACCAAATGTCATTATCTTGATTTGCCACCATTCGTCCTTATGGTTACAGGACAGAAATGTTGTTTGAGAATATTCTAACACAATGGAAACTGCTCTGAGAACAAGTACAATAATTTTAAAACAATGGCAACATTTTTTCTGTTTTCAGTGCAATCTGAAATGAAATGACTTCAGATATTCCTGGCTCTGTGGCTTTTTGCCATCAAACAGCTGATGTAAGTAGAAATATCAAACATGACAATTATTAGTAAAATATAGTCTGAGTTTAGGATTTAAATTAAGTGTGACCTTTCTGTCCCCAGGAATAATATACACTGTAAAAAAATATCCAACTTTAAAAAATGAAGTGTACAATTTCCATGCATCTTTTTAAGTAGCTTCAGTGCTGGCTTTACTGAGTCAATCCTATGAGTTTTTATAATCCGACAAACTGTTAGTTTAGTGCAATTAATACGGTTTAACTTGACCTCAAACAATTAAGTTAAACCAACTTAATATTTATCTAAAAGTTGTGGTGATGTTTATGGGTCAAATTATTTTAATTAATATATTCTAACTTATTTATTTCAATTCCACCCTACTCAAAAATATCAACCATGCCGTTGATTTTGACCAACTTCTTAAAATAAGTTGTCAGTTGATTAAAACACTTTAATGTAAACATTTTTATGATGAAAACTTATTTATTTTAAGAATTATCCACAGACACCTTATTTTTTTGTGAGTGTTGATTACGATTTTTATTTCAAAGTTTTGTCAGAAGGTGCTGTTTCGTTTCTTTAGCTATAAAATAGAAGAATATTTGACAGTTAGCATGTTCAAATTTGGCTCCTCTGATCCTCAGTGTAATGTTAACCATAAGTGCCACAACCATTTTTTTCTTTTGCTTTATGTTTTATCAGATAATGTTTCAATATGTGTCAAAAAGCAGGTTTTGAACAGTGTTTCAATTTGTTGGTGTGTGTGACTGTGTGCGCTGACAGATTTATAGGATTAGTGTGTGCAGTCCTCATCCCGAGCGTTCAAAACACGTCATTAATTTGAATGCAGAAGCTGAACACTCTCTGCAAGTTTGGGATTGTTCATTGAAATATGGTGAAAAAAACCTCAGAGTGACATGACTTGATTTCATTCTGTCAGTGAATCCTTTTCACTGTTGCTCTGTTTAATGCTGCCTGATTCATTCCACAGCGCCTCAGTCTACCTCCTGTCCTGGGAGCTTCTGTGCAGCAACATGTCTGTAGCTTCCATGCATCTTACCTGGAACTGACTTTATAACCAAAGATGACTAAGTGTGTTAGAATTGTTGGACTTATTGATTAGTTGATCTAATTGAAAAAAAAAAAAAACTGTCAAATTGTGTCTGCAGATATGCACTCATGAGGGGAATCTTACAATCTAGCACATATTACAGACCAAATTATATTTGTAAATACTTAGAGCAACACAAATTACCCACATATGTCATAGTTGTTTCAAGAATTTCCTCCCCTCCCGGAATTGAGCAAGTGAAGGCTTTTAAAAAGGAAATAAGCTGTTTTTGTCATGTTATCTTTACTGCAGCTGATGATAAAATACAAATTCCATTGTGTTGCAGAAAAAACAAGACTATTAAAATTAAGATTACAGACATTTTTTAATTATTTTAATTTCTTTAAATATAATGTGTTTTTAAAATTAGTCGATGAAGAAAAGCCGATGTGCTGCTTACAGTGCTGCTGCTTCCTTTAAGAGAAAGATGGGTTAGTGAGGTCACAGAGGCATCAAGGGGAGAACAACGGAGGACAAGCTTACAGACAGCAAAGCATTTTCTACAAAGTCAAACATGAGGACGCAACAGTCATTTACTGCAGTCTATTCAGTGTCACTGCTCTGTGTTGGAAACAACGGCTCAAACTGAAAACATGTTTGAATCCAGCTTGAGTCTGACTGCAAAAAACGACTGAGGCTGTCTCCCACTGCTTCACTGCTTCCGGAATAGTGTTCCATCCTCTTCAAATCTCGCATTGTCTTTGTGATTTCCTTGGTATTTACTACAATAACATGTCCAACTGTGACTGAAACCAAATTGGCAAATTCCCAGGAGTCTGCCTGTGTTCAGGGAGCTTTATATCTTAGATGTTTTAGTAGAAAATAGAAGGAGAAGAACTTGTCTCGTTTACTAGTGTTAGGGTGCTGGTGTTCTGAATGGGAGTGTGGCTCAGGAGGAAGAGTGGTCATCTGCCATTTGGAAGGCTGATGGTTTGAGCCCCTGCAGTCTACATGTTGAAGTGTCCTTAGGCAAGATACCCATCCCTAAATCATGAGCACATGTGAATTCACTGAGCAGGTGGCACCTTGTATGGTAGCGTTAGCCACCCATGGGTGTAGCACCAAAGTCTGAGCCCTGTGCATCAGCAGTCTCTGTGACCCCCCTGTTCTACCTTCTCTTGATCCATGTCTCTCTCGCACACCTTTAAAAAAATTTTCGCACAAAGTCCATTTGTGTTCTTTTCCTTTTCTTTCCTTTCCTTTTTTTGGAACCTAGATTTATCTTTCTAGGGAGAAGACATGACAGTGTGCATTAGTATTTCAGCAGCATAAAAAGTCACTCACTCAGCTCTGCATTTAGAGACGAATCTAGTGCAGGGGCAAATTGAACTATTTTGCCCCTTTACATGGTGAGAGGGGCCTCAGAGAGCTTCCACTATTTTTTCAAATACAAAATTCAGTCTTACAACCAATTTATTCAGCAAATTTAGTTGTGGCACTAATTTGTAAGAAATAAAAAATTGCAAACAAAACCAAGGCTTTTGAGGGCCCCTCTCCCGGCCTGGGTAATAAGTCCCACTTCTCCCCCCACTATAATGCCCTTGCAGCCACCAGCATATGAATTTGTGTGAATGAAGAGCAAAACACTACATAAATACGGTTTACCATTTACTGTATGTAACCTATGCAAAATAATAAAATGACTAAAGTAAATGTCCCTCATAGCAGGAACATTAATGTATAATATATGGATAAAGGGTACATGTTTTTGATGTAGATGTCAAGTGTACAAAAGTAGGCTTCAAAAAAATTCAATTGAAAAGATGTCACTAATTGGAAGTAAGAGTTAATGTGATGTTAAGAGTAAATGTTTGTGGAAGATTTGATTCCAGCTGTGAAGGCAAATGAAATGTCGTGTTGAAAGTTAGTGTGTGACCGTGAATCGAGGCACTCAGTGATATCACCAGTAGTACCATCTGTAGTTTTAGTGTGATTTGCACTGCAGCTAATGACTGAAGTTAGTGATGGAGTTTCCTCTGAGTCAGAGACTTCAGTTTTCCCCCCCACAGATTTAGAAGCATATTTCAGCAAGGACATTTTTGCCACTTTTTTTTTTTTTCATTTTGGCTTTTTAAGCTTCTAATCAAAGGCTTGTGCACACCATTTACCAGGCGGTAATAGTATGATATTAAAGTAAAGAAACTCACTATGTGCCAGGACTGGTACCTACTTGCCAGATTCAATCACTGCTGTTGAGTATCTCTATAAGATATCTAATTGTTTTTGTTGCTGATTTACAGACCAGATCACCAACTCTGCCACAGCTATGCAATGAATCTGAATCACTGCATAACATCATCATCAAAGAATTAAAAAGTGACAAAGTTTTGAGCGAGCACAAAACACATTTGTACAATTGATGTGCAAGACAAGATTTAAGAGAATGCTGGAACAGACAGGAACGCTCAGGATAAGTTGAGAGTGAGCGAGGACAGAGGGCTTTATCTTCGTGCAAGTGTATTGCTTCTGGCATTTTCGCTACATTGAGGAAAATGCCACACACTGCGCCTGTCTGTCTGGTATTTCCATGTCTCGCCATCCAAAGAGATGCAGTGGGGGAGTGTCACTAGCAATCCACCAATGCACTGTAATTTTGGTGTCAAGATTCACTGTATTTTGCACCTTCTGTCTTCTGCTGTGGGCTGCTCGACAGAATGCCTCACAGTGCACCTGTGCACCCACATAGGATGCTTTTCTTGTCTGTTTCACTTTTGCTCTACACTTTCCAGCCAGTAAAAACATCTACATGTACCCCAAGGATGCATTTTTCTCCAATTGTAGCAATAATTTCAAAAAGCAGAGGAAAGATAAATGTCTTATTCTCAGCAGCAGCTGTCATCCACAACAACTTCCATGCTGTAGGTCTTGTCTTCAGTTTATCGTCTCCTCATATAGCCATTTAAAGGTTGGCTATATGGCTATATGGGAAATATCATGATTTGGGTGAAAATATGCACCTTATTCAGGTTTGCAAATGACTTAAGAGGGTAATAAGCCCTTCCTGTGAGGCAGCCATTTTTCCTGTTGATTTCATCGCCTAATGTAAATGAACTTGCAAAGGCTTGAATGAAATAAAGTGAACATTATTGCTGCTATTATTCAATGGAATCAAATTCAAAGTCATGTTCTCAGACATGGAAGTCTACAGACAGAGCAACAATAATTGACAATTTGAGATGAGAACGCATTGGAAATCTTTAAGGGCCCTGACCAACCAAGCTGACAGTTGGCCATTGGTGAGATTCAATGACCCTATTTTGCTGTGTGTCCTACAATTTTGGCACCAGTTGGCCCTTGTAGGCTTGTATTTCAAATTTTTTTCAAGTTCATCATGTTGAATTGACATCAGGGCCTGCAGAGCCCACTGGTGAGAGAAATCCCTCTGATTAGCAGTTCAGCTCAGCGCTTGAGAAGAGAAAAAGAAGTGAGAGAAGCAAACAAATGGCTAAAGTCAAGAGGGATGAGATCAAAACAAACTTGTTATATGAGGTAAATTTTATTTCTTCAGCATAAATTATTCCGAGTGTTTTGTGTTATTGTTTGCTGGCACACAGTAAATATCCTTTGTTCTTTCTACATTGGATTGTGTTTCTAATGTGCTAATTGGTCAACTAGCCAACGTATCCTCACAGAATGGTTTGTTTGATATCCTACGAATGCCATATCAATGACATTACATCCTTAATGTAAAGTAATGTAATTAATCTACACATGGTTCTGAATATGTATCTCCCGGGGCAAGTCAATGTTTTTGTGACCCATCCACCACCCCAACCTGCATCCTTAATGACCGCTCAGTACTACTTCCTTGTTTACTCCTGTCAGTGCATTGGTTACCTTATCACCAAAATGTGTGGGTTATGCAGGAACTACTGGCTCATGATTTCATGGGATATTTATGATTTTGGTGCATCACTATTGGTAGGAAAATGAACAGTTTATGAGAACACCCTGGATTAGCATCTTAAATCCATCCTGTCAGTCTTCAGGTTTCACCTTTTAAGGGATGATTACAGACTACCACCACCTGCCGCTATGGAAAGTTATTTCCTTTCACACAGGTACAGAATGTACCTGCTAGTTGGCCATTGGCTGTAGTCCTTGCGGCATGTTGAAGTGCAACTTTTTGGCCAAGACACAGGTGACATGAAGCGATGTAACAGTTAGGCTTCATCACCACGAGTTCATTGATGTCGGTTTAGGCTTTAACACAACAGTCTGCTTTGAAAAAGGGTCAGCAGTAATGCAAAATACACAGTTCGATAATGGGCTAAAAAAGGGGGAAAACAGTGATATTATTAATTTGATCAGTTTGTTGAGAAAAAATAACAGCAGAAAAAAATGCCCCTGAAGCACGTATGCATTTCCTGTGAAATCAGGCTCATGTCATTATAAACAATGATGAAGGAGAAGACATGTTTGCTGAGTTTGTCCAGCCTTCACAGAGTGACTGAGGGAAATGCAGAGGCAGACTGTGTGCCTGCAGTGGTGCCTCTCCTCTGTTGTATGGATGGGGATCTGGGCAGGGGAAGCTAAGAACCAGGACAAAGAGTCCTGATAACATACCCTACAGGTTTGTCTGGCTCCGGGACTGTATTCGGAGCCAATGGAGAGATGGAACAAAAGCAGCACTGTACCTTGGGCAGGCTGAAGGAAACAATTGCGGGCCTCTGGATGAGACCACATTGAATTGGGATGGGAAATGAGCAAGGGAACTAACCCTCCCAGAAATCTGGCGCCTGACTCCCAAAAGCCCACCAGGTTAGTAATGGGAAGTCTGAGACAGTGTCCAATCAAATTTCATGGTTGAATACAAGTTGACAGCTTGTATCAGTTCTATTTACCTCCCTCTGCTAATAAATAAAATCATTTTATTGCTAATGTTTGCATTGGGAAGCCAAGGTGAACTAAATTTCCAATCATTCTAAAAGTGCCATAAATGTTCAGTTTTCTATGCATTAGCTATATGGACTGTGTAGTCAGTCAACTCACATGTTATTTTAATATGTAAATACAGAGTATGAACATTTATTATGCGGCATCTGGCTATTAGGACGTCACTACCCACAGCATTTCCCTTCAACTGCATGAGAGCAGCAGCAGTGATACTGTCACTGAGCAGTGCAGCAGCAGTAGTTCAGGCAGAGCAAAGAGAGATTGGAGCTTGACAGTGTAATTAGACCAAATTTTTGCAAATGCATTACATATTTGTTTCAAAGAACAAGTGCTTGACACAAAAGATAGGAGACCATCAAAGGAAAGTATAATATTAAAGGATCTTTAACTGTGATCTTTAACCCATCAAAAAGCTTCTTCA